TGTTGGCTGTTGAAGCATGTACAGTTTAATTTCCTGTGTAACATTGTATGTTGAGATGAGTTTTATGACTGTGCTCATAAAGATCCCTTGGAATGTTCACGAGCAATGAATCATTCTTCACTTGTAGTTAGCCAGACTAATCACATGCATGAAATAGTACCAGTGGGTTTTATTGTTTGCATGGATGGACAGTAGGAAAATTAATTTTTATGAGCTTTTATTTATTAGAAGTAAATGGGCACAAGGATGTTGAACTCTGACTGACCACTATGTGATCCTTCTAACACTTTCTGTGCTCTATGCACTTCAAAGTTCAAGGCAAATACTGTTAAATTGCCTCATTACCTTATTTGTGCAGATCTGCTTGGGATGCTCTAGTTCTCAAATGCTTTTTCTCACTGATAAATATTTATAATAAACTAAACCCCCCTAACCCTACCCATATCACCAGTGTAGTATATCTTTTTATTATAGCATTGAATTGAATACTTTCTTCATGCTATCTGCATGTCATATGCAGTGTCTGATCCCAAGTCGTATGATTCATACCGATTTTCTTAGTATTATGCGTTTCTAAGATTTTGGTGGCATGTTTTGCCTGGGTACTAACTAATTTTAAGGAATCTTGTGTAAGGAAGGGATCAACATTGCTTAAGCCTGCCCCAACAACTATTGATCTTGCCCATGGCTTTCACTACATTATTAACATATTTATTGATATATCTTCCTTTCGGGGCGCCAGATGGGACAAGAAGAATAACCCACACCCCTGGAAGAAGATCAAGCCCAATGAAAATATTAAGGTCAGTCAGTCAATAACTCTTTAATTCATACATTTGAGTTATCATTTTTTAGCATGTTGACATCCAGACTACTAAAACCATATGTATTGTGGCATTGTCAGTGTTAAGTCAGCTGGAATTTTTTTCCATTTTGAATCAAGGCACTTGTATTCAATTCTACAAGAGATCTGTATTGAACTAGTGATTTTGCAAACTATTTCTAACTTACTTGGTCAATGTTGCATGTTTGATGGTATAAACCATAAATACCCAATGTATTGTTAGGTTCAGACGTGTAATTAAAATCTGTGCTCATTGTTTGATACTTGTATGGTAACGATTAGAAAATTTTGTTTCATGAAATTTAAATTGCTAAGCTTTACAGTTCAACATTACTTCCATATATGACCTATGTGGAGAAAGGGTTGTGAATTGTCAGTGTGGGGAAAATGGTTCCAAACCATCAATGTCAGTGTGGGGAAATGGTTGTAAATTATCAGTGTGGTGAAAATAGTTGCCAACAAACATGTGTCAGTGTGGGGAAAATAGTTGCCAACAAACATGTGTCAGTGTGGGGAAAATAGTTGCCAACAAACATGTGTCATTGTGGGGAAAATAGTTGCCAACAAACATGTGTCAGTGTGGGGAAAATAGTTGCCAACAAACATGTGTCAGTGTGGGGGAAATAGTTGCCAACAAACATGTGTCAGTGTGGGGAAAATAGTTGCCAACAAACATGTGTCAGTGTGGGGAAAATAGTTGCCAACAAACATGTGTCATTGTGGGGAAAATAGTTGCCAACAAACATGTGTCAGTGTGGGGAAAATAGTTGCCAACAAACATGTGTCAGTGTGGGGAAAATAGTTGCCAACAAACATGTGTCAGTGTGGGGAAAATAGTTGCCAACAAACATGTGTCAGTGTGGGGAAAATAGTTGCCAACAAACATGTGTCAGTGTGGGGGAAAATAGTTGCCAACAAACATGTGTCAGTGTAGGGAAAATGGTTCCAAACCATCAATGTCAGTGTGGGGAAAATGGTTGAAAATCATCTTGCAGTGAGGGAAAATGGTTGAAAACAAGTGTCAATGTGAGGTTAGGGTCGACAACCATCAGTGTGTGCATGTATTCATGTTTTAAACAGTTTACTATTGTTTTTGTTTTTGCAGTTCTACTCAGCTGGCAAAATTGATTATGAAAGCAAAGAAAAGATTCATCCTGAAATTGACGAGAAAAAATAAAGTAGCTATCAAGAAGAATGTTTTAATGCTGAAATCTGCACCTCGTTTTTTGTTGTAATGAAAACTTAGGCTTAGTACAACATTTATTTCTATTACAAGAAGTTTGAGTCTAGTTTATATTTCTATTCACATCAGTGTTTAACAACAAGCCATAATGCAATCTTGTCAAATTGAAAATACAAATTGTTCATAACATTAATTTCAAAAGTACGTGTCAAATCATGTGATTAATTGAATGTCATGGCCAGTTACAGCAAGAACTACAGGGTTTATAGGAATTCCAGGGTAGTTTGCACTCAAATTATATTCAACACTGTCAATTTATTTTGGATACAATAAACACACCGCATTTGTATGAATATGCAACATGTAGGTTTAATGTTCGTATATGCATGTTTTTCACTCTGATTATACTGATTGACAATACTAGCTTGTGTGTAAATTTGAGGTTGTCAGGGAAAATCACTAAATGCTGCACATTTCATTTTTTGAAATAAATAAAACTTGGGGATTTAATTTGTGTGCTTGGACTTGTTTTATCCTTACTGTACATTGTTTTGCATGCATTAATATATATATTCAGAGGTTTTTCTGGGCCATTATAGGAGATATTGCGAGAAGCATTGATATTTTTTCGAGTGCATAGTGCAAGAACAAAATATCAATACTGAATTAAATCATACCATGCGTTATCTTCCTTGTTAGCTGTATAATGTATTAACCTTTTTTATCATATGTAAAATTGCAATAGTCTTTAAACTGACTGAGCGAATTTACAAGTGTGGAATGATCTGCAGTGAGTGTATTGCACATACTTAAATTTTGAAGTACACTAATTTGTTATGTGGTATTACTCTCAAACATAATGTGATTCACGAAATTACTGAATCCAAATAGATCTCTAACTATTCCATTAATTTTTGTGATCAGACTCAAGATAGCAGCCAAAATTTCATCAAAATTTATCATTTCTCCTGAATCACAAGTACTCCTCTGGTGTATAAATTCTGAACAGATGAGGCGTATTGTGAGAAGGACTTGTCACAGAAATGTAGGAGTGGGGTTAGACTGGCGCAGCCACCGCGATTAATTTGTTTTTTGTAGTTTAGGCCACACAGACTTAATTTTATGGATAACATCCGCGCGCGCGCGCGCGCGCGCGCGCGCGCGCGCGCGCGTGCGTATTAGTTTTCGCCTGTCCAAAAAAAAACAAATATCCGACGACGAGTCTCCACAGATCGGTTTTCTGTCCGGAACTTGCCGACTCGTATTGTCGCAAAGTGCCGACTTGACGTAAAACTCGTTATGGACTACCTCAAAACCAAACTCTGCACAGTTAGATGCACGTTACGTAAAGCGCAAAGACCTATGGGAAGGAGATTGTCACAAAACGTGCCAATTTTGTCATAAGTGATCAAACGTGGTGACCACACCACCAAAATATGTGAGCATACAAGTTAAGGGGTAAAACGGAGGTAGCGGCAAGCGAGTTTTGCCCAGACAACTTTAAGGACATATTGTCCTATTGTAGTGGCTGTCCCGTGTTGCTTCTGCAATGATGAGAGAAATGGGAGAGAAGTGGAGGTGTATGGTGGCCTAAAAGTTGGTCAGGCGACAAGTCAGTTTGGTTGCTTTGTTCGCATTGAAGTCGACAAAACTGCAACGAAAGCAGCGGAAGCTCCTCGGCCGAAGTCCCCTTTCGGGGTAAAGAAAAGTTTCTTATTTTTTTTTTCATTTTCTGATTTGGATAATTTGCTTGCACACACAGTCAGTAATATTTTGTAATATTACAGTCAGTAATAGTTAATTTCCAGGTTGCTGTTGACAAACTTATTGTTCATTTTAATTAAATTTTTTTTTTTCAATACAACACAGTAAGTTTTTCTTCATTATTGAGTTGATGTGTATGTCTTTGGCAAAGCTAACACCTGCCTTATCCACTTGCCTTTTCAAAATCAAAGGTGATACCTGTGACAGTATTGTAGTACGAGATGTGTACATCAACATGTGCCTCCTTCAAATCAAGACTTGTTGTTTTTTTGATACACTGTGGTCCAATTCGTAATAACAGCTCCGTAGTCCTGTGGTTTTAGCAGCATTTTTTTTTGGCAAGATTTTTTTTTTTCGCCCTCTCGCATTAGTTTTGGGGTCTTCAGAGGATGTCATCCATAAAATTAAATCAGTGTGGCCTTAAATAAAATTTTAAAAAATCGCACAATGGAGGTGTTAGAGCGAAATCACCCCGACTGGTTTATTCTGTAGGAAATTCATTGCTATTAAATATTCATGAATGCACATATTGTAATGAGGTGGGCGCAGAAATATGTGAATAATGAGGTCAACATGGTAAAGGTCACACTGCAGACCCAACATGGCAGCACGTTGAAATTCAAGTTTGTCGTAGTCGTTGTAAATAGACTTGGAATGTAGCATAGAAACTATAAAACGTAGGTTTTAATGTAGTTTCTAGATGTAGTGAAATTTTCTTTTATTGGCTGCTATAATCAGCCGACGTCTTCTCGGTCAGAGGTCAGTTAAATGGACGTTGTGATTGGCTTAGATGATTGTCAATTAGAACAATCATTAACATAATTACCCGTTGAGATAGATGGCCATGCAGAATAAACCAGTCGGGGTGATTTATTTAAACTACAAACACAAATTAATCGCCCGACTGTGCCAGTCTAGGGTGGGGTTTTAAGTCTGCAGAGTCCTTGTAGTCTGGCCTAATCCTAGTACTTTTCCGGCTTTATATACACTAAATGTCCTGTTTTTGGGTCACACTCATTTTATCAAATCTTTGTTCTCGTGTAAAAAAAAATAGTACTTTTATACAGATAACATATCAATATGCAACACTGACAGTTTCACTGTGCAAGAAGAAACCGCAAATGTTAGGTTCGAACACAGCTCGCACAACATTCGATCTGAGAAACTTGCTGATCATTGAGCTATCTAGAACCCTGTCGGTTATTGGCTTTCAGGGTACTATGATTTTTCTGTTAGATCATGACTATACGTACATGTTGTGTATATGACAATACTGATTACCAAGTCAACTCTAACGCATGCATGCATGTACTGCACGTTTGTATGAGCATTGCCATTTCAGAACTTGAGGTCACTAAAAAGGGTGTTTAGGGCCACCTAAACTAGTGTGCGAAAACAACAGGTATTCAAAATGCTTACAGCCAGTTAAATGGGTATTGGAAAGGATGTTGAAGGTAGTATATTTAGTAATTTAGGGAATTCATCATGCTCAGCACTTAATTAATATTGTTGTAATGATCAAAATGTTATGACTTCAGAGATCACTTGCCTTTATATGTGTGGCATACAATAACTACAGAGTATAGAGACTTGTGATCAGTAGCAGGGACCATAACCAGCAGTAACCCCATGCTTTCCCACGTTGTGCCGAGTGTCCGGGATAAGCCCGTACGTATTAACAGTAACAGATAAATGAAGAGATACATGTATGTAATGATTTAGGACAGTACTACGCGGACTGTGCCCCTAATGTTCACACACTTTTTATGTTCATGTGAGGCATGGAAATAGTTACTCAACTTGCTGGTTATGTAGGACGGAGCAAACCTTAAGGAATATTAGGGGCGTGTATAAAAATAACTGCTACAATGATAGCACACTGGGTGTTTGATTTCAGCATATACCGGTACCTGTACATTTGTATATAGTACCCAAGTAATAATTCTATGCACACGTATCCATGTGATGTTCTCCATGTGATGTATAGTGTTATATCTTTATTATCGATCATAATCAGTCAGGTAGAAAAAAATTGAAATCTTGTAAGAATCAATATATCATCACGAACATTATAATGACTTTCAAACTGAAATTCCGAATACTTCTTCCGTATTTGTTAACCACACACAGTTTATTGTTTACTATCAGCCGAAAAAGTACCATAAGGTGGCAACTGAATGTGATCCAGTGATGTTATGTTATCTTCTTAGAAGTGAAATATCCAAACCTCGCACATTGATAAGCGCCAGCCCAGAACGTATATTCTATTATCAATGAATTTGGCAAAATCGTTTAAAACATTATCAAATACTAAAAATTTTATTGAGATATTACACTGAAGTGGAGCTATTGCCCGAAATATCTGGTTATATTAAAATAAATAATCGTCATATATTGAATAATTACCAATGACTAAGATTACCTACTATTTCTATAAATTACAATTTATAGATGAAGATGAATATCCCGTAAAATAGTACATATACCAGTATATACCCCGGTGAAAGAGGTGAGTCACTGACTTTAAGTTACGTGATTTGTGCATTCAGAAACAGTTCATCCATGTAAGGTTTACCCGAGTGACCCCGAAAGATGTACATTTATTAAATCGTCTGTACCATCAATGCAAAGTATGTAACAAATACTCCAACAACCTGCAAAACAATTAGTAAATATTAGACATACTAAAGTGAATGAAGATACGACATGATATATTTAACTATGTATTTAACACCGTATTTAACTATGTATTTAACATATAATTTTTGGTAATCAGTACTGGTGTGTCACAATCAGACCATACTGCTCCATAAGAATCACCCGTTTCACAAATGTACTTACCGTTATAACGAATTCCTTTGTTATACAGACTAAACCCCACAATGTAAAGCCAATACTGCTTCCATGGAGTTTGAACAAGAACGTCGTCATCTGAAGAAAAAATATTATCGGAATACAAACAATTACAATGTTTTAAACACCCTAAGTCATATCTGTCGGGTACAAAAAACATACTTAAGGATGAGACCCAGGTTCGTGGCATATTTTTAACATGTTTTCCGTACGTCTGTTAGATTGGAAAAAAACTAAAAAAAGGCCTATTTTCGAGAGAAACACGCACACACTTCACTAGTTTGAGGAACAAATAAAATTTTCACACAATTCACACATAGAGTTAACTAAAAATATATAACACACAGGTAGCCATCTTCACTGTGAAATACAGGTATGAATATAATTGCACACGAACCTTAACCTTAACCTTAACGGCAGATTATTTAATTAAAGTTAAAAAGGAGAACGTTCATTTTCATAGTCACAATACAATCAATCAAATACATGGGCATTAGATCACAAAAATGATCAAATCAGTGAAAGAATAATAGGTGGACTTCAATGTATATGAACAAGAGGTCAAACCTCGTCGTACGACCCCTTAAAGCTGATGATTAGAATTGTATCTTTCTAACAATATATGATTTGTTTTGTTTATTTTGTATACAACTTCAGATCATCCCTGGGTCGTGAAAAGATCTACGAAAATCAATTAATGGTCGAATTGTACACTGTTGAGTGTGTCTGTTCTATGTTATCTGTGAATCTTTCTTTATATATTTACTTACCTGCATTAATGATGTATTATCTGGATACACTTTAAATGATATTTGATGTAGACAATGTACTGGTTGGTGAGCCTAAAATAAAAAAGGACATCCCAGATAACGAATCTAGATTCAGTATTCACTTCG